TGCCGTTATCTCAAGTCGCCCCCGTCTGAGTGCGGGGAGCGCGTGCGCACCACTCGTGGCCGGCATGGGCCCTGCCAGGGTCGACGCCGCTGTGCACTCGGCACCTCCTGAGGGCTTGCCATCGCTCGGACGTGTGCGTTTTTTCTCGGCGAGGACCATCGAGGAGCATCCTTGATCATTTGGCGAAAGAACCACGCACGAAACCAAACAAAAACACAGGGAATGGACGCCCGAGCGATGGCCAGAGGGGGGGGGTCAGCGCCAGTCCTCGTGAGGCCAGAGGCGGCCGTGCGCCTGTGCGCCTGTGTGTGTGTGTGTGTTTGTGTGTCCTGCGCGCTTTCTAATGCTTCATCGCCAGCGCTGTCACTCTGCCGAGTCCCCGACGCAGAAAGCGTGTCCTGCGCGCGCCAGTGTGCCTGCGCGTGTGTGTGTGTGTGTCCTTCGCGAACGCGGCAAGCTCCTTGCCCCGCACGTCGGGCATGTCCCTCTACAGGGGGAACATTCAAAGATAGTCAAGCCAATAGGCTGGGGTCGAATTGCCAACCAGTGCTGGCTACACCATGTTTCAATACTGGTTCGACCACTCTTCACGCTTATGTCAGCACCCTCCTCCAGGAGGTCCGTGGCCCGCAGGTGGGCGGCACCCTGCGGGCGAGCACTTCGGGGTCGGCCCGCGAGCCCCTCGGTGGGCCCACCATCCCGCCTCGGCAGCCGCGGGGGGCTGCCAGGCGCCCCCCGCAGTCGCCAGAGAGGGCGGCGCGGCCTCCCGGGAGCCCTCTTGCCTCCTGGGGAGCGTCCTCCAGGGCGCCCTCGAGGGCGCGAAGTTATTCGCGCTTCGCGGTTCGCGGTTCGGCTTCGATTCCTCCTTCTCCTCCTCCTCCTCCTCTCCTCCCCTGGGGGCTGCGCATTAGCGCGAAGTGATTCGCACTTCGCGCTTCGCGCAGCGCGAAGCGCGAAGCGAGAAGTTGGGTGCCCTTGGTTTTGTGCCTCCTCTTACGTCGGGCTCGACCCTCTACAGGGGGAAAATGCAAGAATTGTCAAAACATAGACTGGGGACCTTTTTGGGGAGTATTTCTGGGTAGGTTCGGAATATTTGTGGACTTGTTTGGAATCTTTGTCCAATATCCCCCTGTAGGGGGACAGGCCCGACCTACGCCTCCGCCGAAGACAGGAATTCGAAGCAGAAGAAGAACCACAAACGCCATAAGCATAAACCTGGGGCGCTCCGCGCGGATTTCTTGGATCCGCGCCAGGCCCCGCACCTGGCGGGCTCCACGCGCCAGGGAAGGGGTCCAGCGCGGATCCAAGAAACCAGCGCGGAGCGCCACAAAAGTTTCTGTTTATGGCGTAATATCATCAGACAAGAATGGCTTCTCAGGAGGCCGGAGGGCCTCTGAGAAGCCCCGCCGCCTTTGAGAAGGCGCCTCCCACTTCCCCCCTTGGCTCACCGCCGAGTCTCGCACCACGCTGCTTGAGCCGCCAACGTGACGGTGTGGGCGAGGCGGGGCCCTCTCTCTCACCCTCCCCGGTGAGGTCTCTGGAGGTTCCTGCAGCTGCTCCTGGGGCTCCTGGCATTCCCTGGAGCTCCCTGGAGATCCCCTGGGCCCTTCAGAGGTCCCCGGAGTCTTCCGGAAGCCTGCAACCGCAGGGGATGCGCTGCAGAGCCCCGCCCTTCACCTCGAGCCTCCGGCTCGAATCTCCTGTTCCTTCCCATCCTCCTCCTCCTCTGTCCTCCTCCTCCTCCTCCTTCTCTACCTCCTCCTCTTCCTTCTCCTCCTCCTCCTCCCCCTCCCCCTCCTCCTCCTCCTCCTCCTCCTCCTCCTCCTCCTCCTCCTTCTCCTCCTCCTCCGTCCTCCCTCTTGATCGGCGTCGTCTCCTTCTCCTTCTGCCACGCACGACGTAAGCCGGGCAGCCGCCGGCGTGCCGCCATGCCCGCAAAGCGGTAGCAGCATGTTTGCGGTGCTTTTCTCCGCCCATGCTCTTCGGCGCACAGTGGAGACCCATGCCAAGAAACACCCTGCCTGCCTCCAGGGTGCCCTGGGTTTCTTGGGTTTCGATGGCTTTGCAATGGAGAGCCTTTTCGCCCCCACGCCAAACATCCATGGACGTCCTTGGGCTCCAGGGTTGGGTTTCCTGTGGAAGGTTTCTTGTGGTCGAGCCCCCACGGTATCCGTGGCCTCGATGGCGCCCCAGGAGGCGCAAAACAAGCAAACTTACAGCACGCTCTGCTGCCACTCTCCCCAGCGACAGGGCCCCCAGACCTCTCGTGGGGCGCGTTTTGGCACGAGTGGGTGAGCCACGAGGGGCGCACATTAGGAGGAGGAGGAGGAGGAGGAGGAGGAGGAGGAGGAGGAGGAGGAGGAGGAGGAGGAGGAGGAGGAGGAGAAGGAGCGTGCGCCCCCTCGCCCGCGGGCCCGTACGCGTCGGTTCCCGGGCCGCCAGGCCCGAGCGGCGGCGCGTGCGCGCGTGCGCGCGCGGAGCCCCCGCCCAGGCGGTGTGAGCCCGCGGCGGCGGCGGCGGGCGCGGGAGGGGGCCAGCTGCGCGCGCGCCGCGCCGCCGGTTCGTCTGGGGAGCCGGGGAGCTCGTCGAGGGAGTGTTCGTCGGGGGCTGCGAGTGGTCACGAAGCATACTCTGGGTTTCTCATCGGGGGCGGCAAAGAGGGGGGTGATGACGAGGGGGGGGGGATATCATGGCGGGGGCCATGATATTTTCCAGATCTCATGGCGCCTCTTCTTATTTCATTGCGTCCCATTCCCCCCCCTGGGCCGCGCACATGCCGCCGGTCATGATTTGCACCCCCCCCCTCTTGGACGCCCCCCTCTTGGCCGCTCCCGATCTTAGTAAGCGTGGGGGGGTACCCTCCCGACGGGGGTCAACCTCGCCTCGTCGTCGCGCTGCGACGGGGGTCGGAGCACCTTCCGGCGCGCGGTGGCTGCCCGCGACGGGGGTCGATGTGCGGCTGTCGGCTGGGGTGACGCCCCCCCGACGCTCATTCAGAAACTCGGAGTAATACAACCGTTAACCCTGTTGTTAGGGGGCCGTTTTTGGCGGTCTCCCAAACCGCTTGAGAGCGAGTTCGTTTTCAATTAAAATGCAGCCGGCGCCTCGGCGAGAGCGCCAGGGCGCTTGTAAGGGGTCCAACAATAATATTTGTTTTGAAATCATTATTCAACAACAACATCGCTAAGCATCACTGCAGGAGCTCTGGACACCATCTCTCTGAGACATTTTTTTGGAGCGGACCGATGTGTGTGGGTCCCAGGGCCCGAAGATTGACAAAAACGGTTGGTGGGAAAACTTTCAAATCAGGGGATTTTCTCTGCCCCCTCTCGCTCGCCGCCGATGCAGTCAACCCGTATGGTAAAGATGGGCAACCTTCCCAAGGGTACCTTTGCATCCTTGCCCCTTCGGCCAATCCTTACCGACCTTCGCTGGCCAGCTTCGTTCGAAAAGCGTCCACATGGCCTTCCGAGCCTTTGTACCCTTACCGCGCGTCCTCATGATACGAGCCGACTGAGCTCGGGCCCCATGTGGAAGGCCTCCAGTGTGGCCGCCGCGGCGCGCCAGGGATGAGCAGGCGAGACCCAGGCAGGCGGGTTCGGCCGCTCCGCCGTCCGAGGGGCAACGCCTCCTCTTCCTCTCTCCTCTCTCCTCCTCCTCCTCTTTCTCCTCCTCCTCCTCGTCTGCCTACTCTTCCTCCTCCTCCTCCTTCTCCTCCTCCTTCTCCTTCTCTTTCGTCCTCCTCCTCCTCTTCCTCCTCCACCTCCTCCTCCTGCTGCGGGGGACAGGGGCGACCCCAGACCGTCCCAACCTCCAAGGAGGATGAGGAGGAGCAGGAGGAGGAGGAGGAGGAACAAGAGGAGGAGGAGGAGGAGGAGGAGGAGGAGGAGGAGGAGGAATGGGAGGCAGATGAGAAAAGGCTACGTTCTGCGATCGTTGCTCCCTTCTGGAATCAGGAGGAGGAGGAGAGTCTTGAGACGCAACAAAGTCGTCGCGCATGCCGAACGTAGAAAGGGGAGAGAAGGATGAGGACGTCTCTCATGGTGGCCGACGTAAAACAGACGAGGAAAGGGAGGACGAGGAGGAGAAGGAGGAGGAGGAGGAGGAGGAGGAGGAGGAGGAGGATGAGGACCACGGGAGTTAAGTCGTTTCTCTTTTTCTCCCGGGGGGCGGCCCGGGTCCATCAAACATTGGCTCGGGATCAAAAGCCCGCCTGGGGAACGGGTCGGGACTTCTGGGGGCCCCGTACGGTCGGACAGAGGTAGAAGATCGAGGTCGGTTCGGGGAGGGTGCCATAATGTTCTTTGTGTCTATCGTGTTCTTTTGCATCCTGGGGGAGGGTACCTTTCAATGTTCCTCAGTTTGGCAGGCGCAGGCTCTCGCGTTCTCCTGTCCAGGGTCGGGCCGTATTGAAAAACAGCAGGACATCACATGTCTGGATCCTCCTCCTCCTTCTCCTCTTCCTCCTGCGGGGCGGAGGGGCACCCATGGCAGAGGTATATGGGCGCCCTTTGCGCTTGTTTTCTTGCCTCCGCGGGAGGGGGGGGCTTCCGTGGGCCTCCTGGGGGCTCCCAGAGACTTGGCCTCCGCAGAATTCCGGAGACTTCTCCAGAGTGAGGAGGAGGAGGAGGAGGAGGAGGAGGAGGAGGAGAAGGAGGAGGAGGGGGAAGGAGGAGAAGAAGGAGAAGGAGGATTGGGAAGCAGCAGGAGGAGGAGGAGGCGGAGGAGGTAGAAGAGGAGGATCGAGGAGGGGGAGGAGGAGGAGGAGGAGGCCCCTGACTCCCGACGGCGTTTTTTCTCGAGGCGGGCAGGACTCTCATCTTCGGCCTCGGCCTCTGGAGGCCCGCTGCGGGCCCGGGGATCGTGGAGCACTGGCCCTGCGATGGCCCCTCCGGAGGTCGAAACCAGGGGCGCCCTCGAGGGCGCGGAGTTATTCGCGCTTCGCGCTTCGTGGCTCGGCTCCGCTTCCTCCTCATCCTTAGTGCCAGCCGAGAGGGGGGGGTCACCCGCAGCACGGGAGACCCCACCGGGCGATCTGCTCTTCTCCAAGGGCGCCCCCGAGCGCGCGAAGTTGTTCGCGCTTCGCGGTTCGGCTCCGATCCCTCTTCCTCCTCTCCTCCCCTGGGAGGCGGCGCGAGAGCGCGAAGTCATCCGCGCTTCGCGCTTCGCGCAGCGCGAAGCGCGAAGTGGGGGGAGCCCTTGGTTTCGGTGATCTCTTCGATCGTTGTCGTTCTGATCCCGTTCTGCAGCAGAGGCGGAACGTAGACAGAACGAGGGACAACCAGAACAGCAGAACGAGCAGAAAGCAGTTTTCAGCCTGAGCCCTGCAATCTCTTGCTCGCTGCACGCTGGAGATTCGAGCATCCTGTCATGTACACCCCCCTGTCGCTCCCTGGGAAGACGGCGGCTACAGACGCGCCGCCCGCGGGCGCGACTCCGCCGGGCGGACGGACGGCTGGCGGCGCCGGCCCAAGGTCCGCCAAGAAGACATGGCAGCGCGCGCCAGCGGCGCTGCGGAGCGCTGAGGTCTCGCTGGCGTGATCCAGGGTGCATTTCCGATCCGATCGATCCGATTGGATCTCGGTTTCCGTCATCTCGATCCTGGCAGGCTCCGGTGTTCCGACGATCTGACGTGACCCGACATTTCATGGCGTTGTGGTGCACTCTGTCGCAGCCCCCGTCGTGGCCGACGCCTCGGTGCGATCGAAGCGTGGGAGGAGGGGATGGGGGCAGAGGCCGACAGACAGCCCATCTTGAGCTATCTTGGGGTTCGTCTTTGGCCCTGTGTTGGCTCGGGCCGGACGAAAGGGGGGGATCGGGAAAAGGGGGGTTACGAAGTCTTCTGCATGCAGTTGGTTTCGGCTCCACCGAGGGGCCCATTCCTCGATACATAGACGCCTCCGGCGCCAGGAGGCGCCAGGAAAATCAGCTACGTGAGCTGATTCTCACCCCCCCTCTTTGCTATCCCCCCTTTCGCCCGGCCCGATCAGGGCTCTCTTGGGTTATCATGGATTGGGCCACCTTGGAAACACCTTGAGACTTCGGACGGCCATAGGAAGCGACGAGGCGGAACGGCGCATCACAAGAATGCTCCTGGGGTTCTCGAGGGAATTCGGCATGCGTTGGAAGCCATCCTGAGCGATCTCGCGCTATCTTGAGCCATCTGGAGGCCATCTTGGCATATCTTGGGCCCTCTTGGGGCCATCTTGGGCCATCTTTGACGCTCTGGCCGTTCGCGACCCCCTTCCAATCCAGACATCTCCAGATCCGGAGGGGGTATGGGCGAGCGGTCAACCTCTCCCCGTTGGGGAACAAGGAGGCCGGAAGCGGAAACATCTCAACCACCCACGCGCCAAAGTGCTGGCGGGAGATGGCTTCACCCGCCGCTCTTGACGGACCTCCGCTGGGCCCGTCCAGCTCAGGCCCCCTTTTGCCGCCTCCGCTCCGTGCTGCTCCTTTTTGAGCAGCACTCGCCGTCGGTGTGGTCGTCGTTTTTTTTCTCATTTCCTCGAGATCTCCTCGGGCATCGCGCGATCGCTCGGGACCTCCCCTCGACGCACGTAACGGCCTCGCGCTTCCGCGACCCGCCCGCTCGACCCTGCCGCCCCGGCCCGCTCGCCCGCCCCGCTGGGCCGATCCGCCCTCTTCCGCTCCGCCCAGCTGGCTCTGCCGAATAGCTCCCTCCTTCCGGGCCCCTCTCGTGCTACTCTCTCTCTCTCTCGTGCCCCATCCTTCCTCCCCACTGCCCCTTCCCCGTTCCCCTCCCCTCCCTCCTCTCCCTGCTTCTCCCTGTTTCCCTGCTCTCCCTCCTCCGCCCCTCCCCCCTCCCGGTTTCCCGATCCTCCCGTTTCCCTATCTTCCCTCCTCCCTCCCTCCCTACTCCTCCCTGTTTCCTTGTTCTCCCCACCCATTGTCCCTTCCCTCCTCCCTCCCTCCTTTCCCCTGTTCTGGGGGCTGCGCCGACTGCACGTGGCACATATAGAAGATGGACCCCCAAGAGGCGTACGATCAAAGACGTAGAGGCTGGTTATCAAGGGTCTGGGATACAAATTTTGAGTGACTCGCGGGCAGCTAAGAACGAACAGTCTTGACATCAGTGTTGCTGTTTTTGTTGTAGTTGTTGTGGTTGTTGTTGTTGTTGTTGCTGTTGCTGTTGCTGTTGCTGTTGTTGCTGTTTTTGTTGTTCTTTGTTGTGTTTGTTGTTTTTGTTGTTGAACTTGTGATATGGAAGATAATCGCTGGATCTTCTTTACTCGCGCGGCGAGGTGCGTAGCTCTAAGGCCAAGGGCCCTAGTCGAGAATGAACGGCGGCGGGGAGAGCAACGTGTGAGAAGGCCAAGGAGCCTGCACTGCGCACGGCGCGAGGGCGCTCGAGTTTGAAGCGTCAGAGCAGCCGGGCATATAGGTGCCTGGCTCTTCATTGGGCGGAGTGCCAGGCATGCTGGCAGAAGGCGAGCAAACGGCTCGACACGGATTCAAGGTATCCTCAGCTCTCAGCGC